ATAACGTCCGTATGTTGCTAGCCTTATATCAATGATAATCTTACACCAATTTAAGTGTGGTGACGTAAACAACGCACCGCGAATCGTCCAAGTTGTTTACAATATTGTCAGTGGATAAGGGGAAATCCCATGTTCTAGAATATGCGATGATTATCTCGTTAAGGTAATTTCGAGAATGTTCTAGACAATCGACGCCGAATATATATACCGGCTGGTCAGGCGCTCATTCAATCAGTCCATGAGTACAATCCGCGACACACCGTGAATTACACTCCGCTGTATATTCTTCAATTCCTCCGCAATTGTAACGCGTATCGATATTTGTACATACATATTTATATAATATAGTGTCTATTTTAATTAAATTAAATTGTGAGTGATTTTTATTACTTAAATCCCACATAAGTAATACAAAATAAATTAGCTGCACGGATACAGTGGTTGGCTAATAAATTAAATTATCATATTAACCAAATACAAAACGGTCAACACAGAACATAAAACAACTAAAGATAAAACATAAATAAAAAATAAAAAAACAATAATTTTTTTCCTTGAAATTTGAATCTTTTTTTCTTGAAAATAAAAGTATAGACGATTTACTCTTTGAATTCTAAAAAACAATTGCCTAAAGAAACTCTCATAAAAATTTTCACAGTGGGTGAGGGGAGATGTACAGAAAATACTTTCTTTCAAATATCACACTTATTATCATTATAACCAAACCTTGATAAAATAATAAAATTGTAAATTTGATAACAATAACAAATAATGATTTTTTTTTAAGATTGTTAATCAAGCAAATTGTAATTGAAATTAGTTATATATAAATGAATAGTAACATAAATTATTGTTTCTTTTGTTCACAGGTAAATTTATAAATTGTAATTTTGTAAATAATGTAAATAATAAGAAATAAATATTTTATGTTCACAGAGAAACCAAGTGTTACTATTTTCCAATAGAAATTTTATAATATCATTTTATTATATATATATCACTTAAATTAGAGCTTAATTTAAATATTTTTTTTTTTAATCAACTTAATTTATTAAATGAAGTTAAGTTTATGATATTTTTTAACTTAATTGTTAACATAATTGAACTTATTCTCAATTAACTTAACTTAACTGAGATAAAAATATCATTAACTTGCCCAGTCTTGAATTTTCAAACGAGTGGACTGAAGTTTTTTAAGTTATTTATTTTGTATACAGGATGTTTCTGATATGGTTGAGGAAATTAGAGTACCCGTACTCCCAGTAGTCGCCAAATGAAAAATATTTTAAAAGTGAATTTATTTTTCTATTTTTAATATGAAATAAATTTTGCTTAATTATGATTAATTTACAATAAAACCGTTTTAATTAATAATATATGTAAAATAACAACAAATAAATGTCACCTTTGCTTATGTTTCAAAATTCTCATACAAATCGATATGTCATACCTCTTTTTTTGATCCTGACATCTCGAGTGTGAAAAACGAGTGACAAATAATGTAAGATAAATATGTAAGGTATTTAGATGGTATTTAATTAGAACTAGAAAATATAATACACAATTTATTGTTTTATTATCTTCACAGTGTAAATGTATATTTATTTTAAGAATAACTGAAATATTTAATATTTTTGCGTATTTATACTAAACATTTTTCATTAATATATTTAAATTTAGTGACTAAGTATGTATTTGTATGTCTTTCATGAATTTATTCCAATAAAAAAATTAAATTTAAAATACATTTTTGTATTAAATTATTTCTCGGTGTTTGTTTTTGTTGTGTGTTCTAATTTGTTTAAAAAACAACTAAATCAATAATATCTTCGTTCAACCTAGTATTAACAATAGCTAATTTTGTAATAAAAAAATATTTCCAATTACCTTGTAAATGCCTTCTAGAGTTTTAAATAGTGGACTGGAAAATACTTTAATTTATTTTTTTAGACCATATTGATAATATGAATGGAATATTTTCATGACCAGTGTGGTTCTGTACAGCGAATGGTATATGATTATGATTCTCTACAAGATCTATTATTGGTTGAAAATCTGGTTGATTTGATTAAGTACATGGAAGTGACTGAATAATCAATATATTTTCTTTAGAATTTAATACCTGAAAAAGTCAACGATGGCGATAAGAAACCGGAATTACAGCATTTTCATTAATAATTTTCCGTTTTATTAAGTATTGAGTTTTCTTTTAACAGTGATGGAAGTCAATAAATATAATCACTATCCAAATCTAAAATTTCAGAGTCCTCATACTCTGTATTTAAAAATGATTCGGAAATTTCAAGTTGTCGTGAAGGCAAACAATAATCAACAGATTTGTTACAAGAAGTGTCACTATTTTTATCAGAAAGGATTTTTCAAATAGTATTTAACAAATGTCCTTCTCATTTATATTACTGTTCATTTTTAAAAATATCAGAGGTGTAAAAAAATATAACTATAGTATAATAGTATTTGAATATAAAAAATATAAAATAAAAATAAAATTTGTATTTTTTATCATGTACGAATGTTTATTTAATTGGACGTCAAATTTTTATGTAATTTTAGTCATATGGTCATAGATGAAATTGTTTAGAAAGCGTTGTATATAACTAAATCACTTATTCTATGATATCCTATAATCTAATTCATATTTATAGATTTATACGGATATATTAGAAAAGAAAAATAATGAATGACCACTTAACAAAAAAATTATATATACGTGTATGAATTCCAAGGAGCCGTTAAAGATAACTTCAAATTCTACATTATCCATTTTTTTTTTTTTTTAAGAAAACAATATGTGTAACAGGCTATTAAACCTATGTATTTTTGATTTTGGTGTAAATATATTTCGACTAACAGGGGAAAAATATTTCAAAAGGCGGGTTTTTTATTGTCCTACCGTGACGAAAATATGATTTTTGAGGTGACACATTTGATATCCAACCGTGCTTGAAATAATTAACGTCCTTAACTATCTGAAGTAACTTAATCAATCTAGGACCCAAAAAAAAAAAAAAAATAAGCCGCTGAATATAACATTAATAATATGAGTTAGAAAATTCTGGATCTGGCAGATAATAAAACAAAGTGTACAGGAAACTAATATGTGAAATTCAGTTGTCCATTATACAATTGCATTATTTTAATATTTTAGAGAAAAATAAGCATTTAATTTTTCTTTTTTTTTTTTTGAAGAAATATAATTAAGGTTAGTATATTACATTTTTAAGAGCATATTTTAATTGCATATGTCCATAAAAATGTTAAGGTTTTTATGTACTAGAATTCCTCAGCCCTATTAATTACTTTAAGTTATATGCTTTATGATATTCACCCAATCATCCGAAGATTGTGAAAAATGAGAAGAAAAATATCAAATTCCTTTCGAACCACAAAATATTGATATCGGGTTAAATATGCCATACTTTATTCATACATGCTCGTGCACTGTAAATCATTATGCATTCATTGTTAGACTAAAATGTGTGTTGATATATTTTTATTGATTTTGGAATTTCGTGTTATTTTAAAAAAAAATAAATATTAATAATAATAAAAATAAAAAATATAACACTTATGACACTCACATTAACCTCTCGCTATGATTGTTTTCAACATACAGATGCATTTCTAGTTGATAGTTTCTCATACATTACCATAATTTAAACGAAGACATTATATCATTAATTATCATTCGTTGTACATATCTCATATCAATGAACGCAATTTATTTGATTAAAATGCGTTCATCAATGATACGGCAACGCATCTTACTGACGAGACGTTGGTTCGTTGCCTACAATTTTTGTGCATCACGAGATAAGTGAATATATCAAACAGTATTCATGCTTACAGAACACTTCAGGTGTATATTTTTTTTTGTAGTTTTAACGAATTTATATATTATTTATTTATACATATATTATTTATCGATGAATTATTTGAACATATTTGTAATTTTCACTATCGATGCAACATAAATTAAATGTTTATACAATAGACCAAGTTGCCAAAATCGACGTTTAAAACTAATGCTTTATAACTAGGACATTAACTCGTATAATTATATTTGTATATCAATACAATACCGTGAGAAATGTTCTACTATTTGATGTGAAAGACGCGTTTAGATTAAACAAAATCGAGTTTTGCAACATATTCAAATCAATTGTAGCACAGTATTTCTTGAGCGACGATCTACCAAAGTTGTAGCGTTATTACAACTGTCGAAAATCAAAATTAATGACTAAAATTTAATAATGACGATGACAGAAATATACTTTTATCCGCAGATTATTACTCAGATGTTTCAAAATTTAACATTTCAATACATATAACGTGCAAACTTAACGGCACTAAAATTAATTTAAGAACCTTGATCCATAAATATACATGTGTATACATGTCCATTCACAATAGTTTCCGGAACTAGTGCAGTTGATGCATTCTATAACTCTTGACTACCATGCCGAGATGACGTCGGTGTACTTACAGATTATGTTAGCATAGTGTTTTGTCATATTATTGAGACAAAAAAAATAAAAATAAACCAATTTACCTACAGAAAAGTGTGTAATGGTGGTAAATGAGAGTGATGTTGCATTATCTCAATGCAATATTATTCTTGGTCCATATCGAAACACACATTTTCATTAAAACTATGTATGACTTAAGTAAAACGAAGACTCCCTTGTTTTCGGTCATATCGACCAGTACCGACAGTTATAGGTACTATACTGTGGCGAACTGCTTTGTCTTTTCATCTTCGTCTTGATGAAAAGTTAGACAAGATACATTGTTTTTGTTACGCATACTGTTCTATTTGAAATAATGGTTTGAAAAGGGTAAAACAAACAAAACTCGAAATTCTATTATAGAGTATTACTATATTGTTATAAAATATATTACCGGCGTGATTGAATTAAAATATTGATTACATTTGCATAAAATTACAATATTACAATATTTTAAGTATCAAGAAAAAAATATTTATTTTTTTTATATATTTACACTCAAATAAAATTGCAATTTAAGCATAAAATATTTACTCGGATATGGAATTTGTATTTGAACAACTGAAAGAGTTATACCCTTCAAAGTATTCGTCAATTTACGTTGGTTGTAAAATGGTCACACGTTGAATGGTCCAGTTTGACAAACATTTATTTTTGTTTATGTTTCATTAGTGGTCGATATTGAACTAAAATTGTGTCTACTGCCATAATCATGTTCACAATAATATTATAGTTGATCCTACGAAATAATGTACTAATATTATTCGTAAGCAAGAGCGTCTACTCTTCTTTCTTTGAACAATGTTAAAAAGAAATTAAAAGAGTTCTTTTCAAAACGAGGTTTATCCTTTTTGCTGTAGTCCACACCATATATACCATAGAATTTTCTAAAAAAAAGAAAAAACATAGGGATACAGTAAATGGTATATAAAAATTTAAAAAAAATATGTTGACAAATAATACTTACTGGTAGTATCCAATCTCCCATTCCAATGAATCCATAAACGACCAAACGCCGTATCCAATAATATTAACACCATTCTTCAAGGCTTTGTCGAGTTCCGTTAAAATGCCCTGCAAAGATAAAAAAAATAAAATTCAAAAACACATTTCCATAAGCCGTTCGATCTCACAACACACAAATATAATGGAACGGAGTAAATATATTTGCTCTGTCCAATACAATAACAGCCAGTAAGTATTTGATATTTAACATGCATAACACATGTTGAAATATAAACATTTTTGTACTCACTCGATGATATATTTTTTTTAATTCAGAATCATCTTTGTCAGGTCCCTCATATCGACCATTTTCAGTTATAAACAACTTAGGGTTGTTACAATTTTGAACAAACCAGTTGATCACCTGAGTGAAACCCCTATATGTCTAAAATTAAAGAGAGAATAATTAATAAAACTACATATATCAAATACCTTTATATATATTAATATTTACATCGCTAAAGCTATCTTCGTTCAATATGCCCGCCAATCCGATGTCCTTTTTCTGCAGTTCTGTCGTATTATTGTATAGTTCTTCGTCCATTGGTTTTAATATCATGGAGAAATAATAATTGAAGCATATGAAATCAAACGATCCTGTAAAAAAATAACTAACGATTACGATATTGTTATAAATATTTTGAATTTTTAAGAAAATTAATGTAGTTAAAGATGATCATCCTTGGATATGCATATTTTCCTATTATTATACAATAGAGTACGTCACAAATACTCGAGTTTATGAAATAATGTCGTTAAAACAATAATGCATTTCGGCAATAATTTACAATGCTCATATATAAAGTGACGTAATGCGACATTACCTTTAATGATTTTCTTTTCTTCCTCCGTAAACGGAATGAGACGTTCAATGTTTATTTTCTCGCGTTCGTTCACTTTCTTTATGGCATCGGTAACCCTTTTCGGGAATTCACCATTAATCAACGGCTGAGTGAAAATTCCGAGCTGCGAACAAATATTATTGAAATTACTATGCTGTGCAATCCATCAAGCATCGCGTGTATAGTATATGTAGTGAACAGTACGTTGTAATCGTATGCTTTCTTGACGGCCTCTTGATGATCTTTGTTGTTGGGATCTTCCGGTAAGTACGCCGTGGTGTCCAAACATATACTGACCTCGCCTAAAAGTGCAGAACAAACGTCTATCAGCACACGTACAGTTGTGGTTATACGCCCACTTTTTGACGTATAGGCATATTATTATGGCGATTGATCGCGACACCGGTCGCAAACGCGCCCGTAAAGTTGTTACTTTCAGACGCATTTAGCAACCGTGGGAAACGAGATCAGATTAAAAAAGATGGGAACACCTCGACATGTGCCTCACCTTTCTGCTTCTTCTTGTAAAACTTTTCGTAGATCCTGTACGCGGCCGCATGAGAGAGCACTATGTTACGTACGGCCATGTAATCGGTGATGCCGCTGAACTGGGAACCGAGGGCCGGTGCCTTGCCTTCGTCCATGGAGTAAGCTTGGACGATGAATCTGGGCTCGTTTATCGTGGTCCACCATTTCACCTGTTTGTTACCATAACTTTAGACACTACCTCGATGCGTACATGTCCCGTTATCCCATCCCGGGGGTCTGAGCAAGGTATTGATCAACTACTCGTGTGATGAGATGTGTCAGGGGTACATTCTTTTTGATCCAATTCCTATTTATATTTTTGGAAAAACGAGGAACTTATTGGTTGTATCTTGACGTTTGTTTCATTTTGTGCTCACGTTAAAAACTGGAAGAAGTGCTCCAGTCATCGCGATACAATATTAAAATAAAAGAAGTTTATTCCAATTTGAGTTTTAGAAGGATTATTTTTTTTAATTGACAACGTATTGTTTTAATTAAAGTACTAGGTTCATGAATCTTTATCTAAATCTCGATATATTTTTTCACCTATTTTCATTCGTTGTAATTAAATATCTCCATCTGGTAAAGCTACTTTTTTACATATCTTCGATTTTACTTGAATTCCGAATATTCGTAGTCGATATACATGTGTATAGCTTACGGTCAAATTGCCTTAACCCCCTTCCCACCCCGAGAAAATATCACATCATCACCACTGGTGTACTTATAGAATGACTATGTTACTCACCTTGTCACCGTATGTTTTGTATAAAAAGTTTGCGTAGTTTTCAAAGTAGGTGACTATGTTTGGGTTCGCCCAACCACCAAAAGCTTGGATGTATGATGGAAGATCCCAGTGGTACATTACTACCTGAAAATTCGTATCCAAGTATGTGATAAGACGGAAAATGAAATAATTGAATAAAAATAACGGAAATGATAACGTGCTTTACGTGTCTCATTTGCACGTCAGTTATACATCGTGAATTGTACTAAAGATTGTATGACCTATAAAACCTTAAAAATGGTTTTGTTCATGTGCGCCTCGAGGTGGCTGTACAATGGTATTAATGGTTTTTTAAAAAAAAAAAAAATTAAAAAAATTATACAATTAAAATGTAGGTTAATTGTACTATTATATTATCATAAATAGATTTTATAGTAGCCTCGATGACTTCGTAGCCAAAGAAATTAACTAAAATAAGTTTGGATTTTCATACAATTTGAAAATATTTTCTCAAATATTTAAATTACACAATTTAAACATAATTTAGAAATCAGTGTATATACTATGCAAGATGCACCCCCCTTAAAATTTTCATGACGGACACTTTTATTCCTTTGACAATATGAATAACGTCCTCAAAAAATGCAACGCATATGTATTTTGGTGAAAAATACTTTGGATAGAAAAATATAAAATGAAACCAAAAAATGTAATATAACTAGAAAAAAAAAATTGCTTACACTCTTTCAAAACTATTTATGAAGCACATTTATGAGAATACGAGCTTCGTAAGAAATCGCAGCTCTAATGATAACCGAAGCAAAACTGATCACAATCAATGAACAAATAAATACTATAATAGTCAAATATTTGATCACTATACTATATTACTATTAGTAGGAAGCTCTATATTTACGTTTCACGAAGAATATTGTTTGTAATATTGAAAACATATCAATTTGACTATAATACTATTTGCTAATGGATGAATTTCTTATGCGTTTTTTTCACTCGGATGTTACAGATTTGTTACGATATGGCAATTACAATATATACAAATCGGTGGATCTCCTGAATGCTTTTATAGAATGATAATTATATAATATCACCGAATCTTGTTGAATCAGTTGTGTAATAAGTTCGAAAAATCTAATAGATCGCAATCTTTTGTGGAGCATAAATTATAATACATAACATATTTGATCGTTAAAATTATATTTTGTTTTATTGGTTCATTTTCTGTACTTTATTTTATTACCGATGTATCGTACCCGCGATCGATTTAGTTTTGGAAATTTCTTACATAAATATTGATATTATTATTATAATTGATTTTACAGTTTAGTTTGGAAATCTTACTATTTTATGAGTCTATATTTTTGCGCAGTTTTCGATGCTCATGACCGTTTCTCAACAAGAAATAAATCAATTATCATTTCTATTATATTAGTATAATATTATATAAAATACGTTACCACTGGTTGAATATTGTTTTCTACAAGCTTGTCAATCAACGTTTTGTAATATTCTATTCCTTTTACATTAGGTGATCGATCATCTCCTTGGGGCAATACTCTCGCCCAGCTTATGGAGAACCTGTAGAAGTCCACCTGGAAAACATTTGCGAGAATTTTAACAGTCGTAATTATTATCCACTGTCGATTATCGTTGATGAAGATAATATTCAAAAGCACTTATATGCGGTGCTCATAAGATTCAAGACACTTATACTCGTATTATGACGAATTAAAATGAAACATAAAATTAAGTCGTTCATTTTTTTTCAGCATGCAGTTCGTAAAATAAAAATAAGCGATATTGCAACTGTGCATAAATAAATATAAATTTAATAAAAAAAAAAAAAATTCTCGTAATATTATCATATTTTTACATACTCCGAGTTTGACTAAATTCTTAACGTCTTCGTCGACCTTGTGGTAGGAATCGCACGCGATGTCTCCGTTGACGATGTACGTCGGTTTGGAACTGTTTTTATCAGCAAAGTTCGTTCCGAAAACGGCAGATTTCTTATTTCCAGCTGTTCTGGTAATTAAGGGTTTCTCAAGCTTGGTGATTTTGTTGTGGAAATAGTCGTCCCAAATGTTGGGAGACTTGCCTGTAAGATAAGAATATAATTTTTTTTTTGTTTCACTGCTATTTGTCTATAATATCGAAGTGCAGTTTGCTTGATGTGTAAAATATACAATGAACTTCCCATAATTATGAAGGCACCTCTATAGCGGATTTCTAAGAATTACAACTGAATATATTTTTCACCGTAATTAATTTTACTAACTTTATTGTTGTGATTGTTAAAATATAGAAAAATTCAAAACCGATCATATAAAAATCTTTTTAGGTGCATTTTGTTACCAGTTAATGTTTCTCTGTTCATTTTCACGAAAGAAATTTTTAAAGAAACGAAAACAAAGATATAAAGAACAAATACTCCGGTATTAAATATTTAGTGCTTAGCTTAGAATCTATATTATATAAATTATCATTTTTATTATATTCTAATGCGATTAATCGTTTTCAATATATACTTTTATTAAAATAATCTATTATCAAAATTTTATTTGAAATTAAAAAAAATAAATATCTTAATCAGTTTCCATTATATCAAAACGGTTTATTGAATAATACCTGTATACTATGAAATATGTGTTTTATAATTATTTTTAAACCTTTAATGATATATCCAGCCATAACACACATATCACGACTTACCATCAGCATCCCATCCTCCTTCTATTTGATATGCACTGGATGCTGTTCCAAGCAAAAAATCTTTCGAGAATTCGATTGCTGAAATGTAAAATGCAACAAAATCGGTAATGATACTGAAGAAAAGATTTAAATTCAAATTTAATTATATTTTACTTACTTTCTTTTGAAGCCATTGTCCGTTTTTTTTTTTTTTATAGATATTAACCACGATCAATTACTATATGGATCACCTAGAATATAGTATTAAAATATTATTAAAAAGTAATCTAAAAATAAAAAATATTATTCGATATTGTTTCATGTATAGCGTTGAAAAAATTCTGTAAATCAAAAACTAAAACTAAATTTTTTATTCACTTATTCGTAAATTTTTAAGAAAACAGAAATAATTCATATTAAAATAACTGTAAAATACATATTGATTCTGACGTTCTCTATATGCAATTACCTGTTAAAGAAATGGTTAACTTTCCGCAAACCGTGAAACTATGAAGACGGTATAATATGTACTTTCGCCTTTTATACGCTAAACACCATAAGCTACAATTTGCTTATAGATGAGATTTCCGTTTATCTCGTGATAAAAGCAATTAATTTAAAATAAATATATGATTTTAAATTTTGTTCATGTATAATAGCTACATTCTGTCGATATGTGAATATTTCCTTCTCTTGATAATAACTGATAATATATCACGAATTTATGATTTTTAATAAACATACTACATAAATTTAATTTAAATAAAAATTAATTTACGTCAAACGACTCTCTTCAGCGACCCGACTCTCTTAATTAATTATTTTTTAGAAATCGATTTCATACGGATACCATGCCACTCCAAAGTTGTTTTTTTTATCGTATTATTAATGTGCTTATGTTATAAAATAACTAAAAATTTCATGACTACCGAAAATTTATAATTAGTACATAAGTGCACTAATTATAGTTTAGTTAATATTTGTACCTATGCGATAAGATATCAATCAAAACTCACCTAAACCTTACGAAACGTACTTGGTATTTATCAGGTACTACTACAATTGTTGTTGATATTCAAGTCTGTTTCACAAATATGGCTCACGAATGTAGTACATAGTATCACAGAATAACCATTGTCTTTATTTCGGATTGATTAAAAAGTATTCGTTATTAATAGTGAATTGCCTAAATTTAATTGAATTATCTACAATAATATTAAAATAGAGGTGGTACAAAAAAAAAAAAATTCTTGTCTCCGCAATGCCACGATTGCAAGGGTTACATTCACATACTGTCAAATATGTCAAATGCGGAAATAACCATCACTTATCAGACTGTTCAAAATCTCCATCAGAACCCGCCAAATACGTTTTATGTGCAGGAATCGCGCCCAAAATCTTACAATGATATCATCGAAGCTCAAGGGAAATATCAAAATAATTATCTCTGTTATTGTTTAGTCTCCAATTGTATCACGTAGAAGAATATTGCCCCCAGTCCCATTTCTATTCAGAAATAACACAACCTATCGCAAATATCACTGTCAACACACCAGTTCATTAATTAATTACGTTAATATATCAATGTTGTTTATTTATTTTTAATGTAAAATGTTTTATTTTATTAATAGAAATTGTGTCTAAATTTATTCAGCTGATCATTCTAAAATTTTAATTCGAAGTCTTAATAACCGATTTGGCCTTTTTTGAACATCATCAGTTGTAGTTATCAGACTTTTTTCTATAGAATCGAACGTCAGAAAGTCATATGGAACGTATGGTTGTTTTTATTAGTTCAGATGAAGGACCGATAGCAATTTTTTTTTTTACAAAACCACAGTATTATAATATATTATTAGAGTAGTGATGAAACAGAATCATTGAGAGGTATCGTGAAAATGAACGTGGTATGAAAGTGAGCGAGACGAAAGTCGTCGTTGTGATGAACGGATGAAGTCGAAGGTGATACGTGCGTAATAAGGTGTGTGCGAACAATTGTTAGTAAACCGGACCACATGTGTGATGGCGGAGGACGAAAACACTATGTTTTTAGCTCGTATAGGGTTGGGAAAGAAGGTGAGGGTAAAGAATTTATATTATAGTGTACGAAATAGACAAAAGTAAAACTATAAAAGTTTGAGCATTTTATCTTACGTCCACGCATAACAGCCGTAATAACAATGATTTGTTTATTATAACTGTTTGTCTTAGAACGACCAGTGTGTATTACTGCAACCCTGTACGCTTAACGATACGTTTTGTTGATCGACACTCATTCGATTATTTTTATTGCTTTTTCAGTAACTTTTTAACCGATTGAGGGCCGCCTAGGGTAAACATTACTTAGAATTTCTCATGATGTGACTTGTTTCATCGTAAATTTATTGAAATCCACGTAATATTTCATTATTCCTCCAAAAGAGAAAATAACGTTGTTTATTATTTATGTGTGCGTTTATACGAGCAAAATGATATACGTATTTTCCCGGACTTTAAACGTACTGAATAACTAAAGAAAAAGTTTTGTCAAATAATTTGGAACTCAAGGCTGAAGTTGTCATTGGTGTTATCAATGATGTAGATATAAAGAATTTTTTACAAATTATTTGCTAATTATTGTTTATTTGAGCAATACATTTATTATGAAAAGTTTTTAAAATAAACGTATAAATTCAAATTTTTATTGAAATATGTTTTTCGTGAGTATATACCGTGCTGTAAATACGTGTATAATTTATTTATAGTAATAATAATAATAATAATATAATATTATTAATTTGTTATTCAAGTATTAAGAATTACATAATATATAGAGCACTTTTGATAAAAATTGACTTTTATCTCTTTTATTTTAGATTAATCAATATAAACATTAAAACCTTAATTAATAATGGGCTTATCACAAAGACAATAATATATTTATTATGTGCAATACTGTTCTTTAATACATTATTCAGCATAAGTGCGTCCCAAGTGACATATACGGTAAAAGTGCAAAGTTATTGTAAAGTTATGCTAGTTATAGTTTCAAAGAACAAGAAAACATGAATTATAAAAATATTATATTGTATCGACATTTTTACTAAAGTTTATGTTAAACTACTCTTATTATAACTTATAGCTGTAATTAATACGTTACCACTGATTACATTTTTCATTTTTATAGCCCACAACATGATTTACTATAATTCATTACTTACATTAACGTATTACTTTCTGTAATGCAGATAAAGTATTTGGTATATCCAGATTCTTTATGCGTACCCAAACAAAAAATGTGATGTTAACTTTAACATACTTGTATATGAGTTTTTAATTGAGGGATCAGTTTGAACTTGGGTAAACGTTTAAAGCTCAATAATGTACAATATTTATATTTATAAAAAAATATTTTATATATTACGTTCATGTATATTTGAAGCAGATTTATTAAAACTATTTTTTTTCGAAAATTTCATCGGAACAGTAGAAAGTAAAAATATTAATATTCGTATGTTAATTAAGTCATTATGTTAACGCTGATGTGCGTTGGATTCAAAAGCAATAAGTTATTGTGATGTATCATACGAAATAACAACGTAATTAGGTATTAGTTTTTGGAATAATAAGCATCCTTACTTAGCGTTTTTTTTTATTATGAATCCATTATTATTACCGTACTTTTATTGTTCGAATTGTTTTATTATCCCACAATTCACTAATTTTTAGCTTATACCATGTACTTGAGTTTTAACGTAAATGCAAGCTCTTAAATATGTTTGACATTTCAATGAAAATGTCGTGTTTATAAAATAATTACGATATTTATAAACGCACTACATATAATTTTGGTTAATTTCATAAGTTTAAATTAGATACAGGTCACAAGAGATAAACGTAGTATGTTTCAATGTGAGTGTCGATAAAAATAAATGGTACCTATTAGTGAATATAACATTCAGAATAACTTTCAAGTAACGCAAATAGTGTACACTTATGTTGACATTGAAATTCGTAAAACAAATTGTAACCATTGGTGTTTTAAAATTTCACCTTATCATTGCAAAAAATGAGAAATAAGTTTTCTAAAAATATTTAGCAGCTTAATATTACAATTGTATATTATACCTACGACACTACAGTACTCACCTTCTACTCGTATAATATTACGTGTTAATACATCTGTAAATATGATTTTAAAATGATAAATAGCTCCAGAAATATGTTTCATATTGTATTGCAGTCTTTCACGACTCGCCTAAAATACGCAGTGTTTATGTGCTACACAATATAAGACGTGCAAATAATATAATCATATATATAAATATAAAACATATGTACATAAATCTATAACGAATGGTTCAGGCGCACGATATGCTCCTGAGCTAACTCATTATAATCACGTTTTATATTGTTGTAAAATTTGTGTTTGCTTGTTAACTTGTATCTGTAACGTTTCGAGTTTTTAAGTCGGACAACAGCAAAATACATTCTTATGCGATTAGTCGGTTTCGGTTTGTTCCGGCTGAATGAATTTAAAAAACAGATCTACCAAGCAGCGATGTACTGTTCACAAATTTGACGATATTTCATCGTAGACGTGCGGTATAGTACGTAATTTTACCGATGAAACAACATCTTAAAATTTCGCGCATAGGACAACTTGTTCTGGATTTAAATTGATCATAACATAATATAATAAATAAACGCGTATCTTTCCACAGATATTGACGCTAAAATATGCTAAAATTGCTCGAATTAAACAATAATTCTTCACAACGTTCGTTTTTCATCCCCCAAAATAAATAATTGTACATTATTACGTAACCAAAGGTTTTAAGGTATTTTAGACGACCTAAACACAGTTTAAAATACACATGAAATTAATTATATTTAATAAAAATAATTCAAATATATTTTAAGCCATGTTATAAACTAGATAATTTTCCATTTGAATTTTATAAATTGATATTAATAACATATTTTTGAACTACATATATATTTATACAATTCAGGTGTAGATTGTCTATCTTTAAAGGGTATCGATATGTTGTGGACTTCAATACTATTATCGTTATTTTATATTCTTATTTATTAGACCACCAAACATATATAATACAGATTAGATATTATTCATAAATATAGATTTGATGTTCCTTACGTATACACGTATATATACTTGTTTGGGATAAAGATTATCACTAAATAATAATAAATAAAATTATAATATATATGATAAAATTAATAAATTTTAATATAAACAAGTAGTATTGATATCAAATAATATTTTATGAAGAGCAAATATTAACGATAAATATATTACATTAATTTATTAGTTAATATAAAAATACACGCCATTTTATAATTCCAAGGATAAATATAAATACTTCTAAGTATTTAAAATTAATATTTTTACCAAAAAATTTAAGAATTTTAGAAATTTGGTTTTAAATAATCCACAGAAATTTAATTGATATACTTGCCTGGTAAATTATTATATTTCAATCCTCTTTTGTTACTTAATGCATGATAATTTTTATTTTTTTAATTTTGTAATTAAGTATATAAAAACATTTTTTTTTTTTTATTAGTACCGTA